GTTGGTGCATCACAAGGTTTTTCTGGAGGATACGCTCCCGGGCAAGCATCCTCTGCTCTCCTCCGTTCTGTTTGGTGATGTCGGAATGACCACACTGCTGAGAGCCAACGTGACACTACTATCGTCCTCCATGCAGCCCACAGGGATCCCGCCCCATGTCAGTCTGCACACGCAACTCGAGAAGAACTTGGCTGCCGTACGGGCGCTCCCGGGTGAAATACGTGACGGCATCGAGAGCCTTCTTGATGAGAAAGGCGTCGCTGCGGGCAACATCACGCATGCACTGCTTGAGCAGCTTCTGAAGAATGCGGTGGCATCCGTTGTGGACACAAGGCCTGTCATCGTGTCAGCTCGTTCTCCTGCTCAAGACGAGTCGGTACCTGTTCGTCCGGTTCACTACTGGGGAGGTCGGTGGCACCTGCTCGCTGAAGACTACGAATTGCCTTCCGTCGACGTTTCCACGGGGTGGCATTTATGGTGGTGTGGATCTCCCGCTAGGGACATTCCACCTTTGTACAAAATCAGGTCGATGGACTTGACGAGGAAGCAAGCCAAGATCCTGTGCGAGTGGCACTTCGCAACGAATGCGCTCCACAATGTGTACTGCAGCGCATTTGGCAGTAGTATGTGTCGACCCTACACATCAGCTACGGTCATTGCGGCATTCAGCAATATCATGGTATACTTGCCACCGTCGTGGGGTCAGACGCATCTTGGACGACAGCGTCGTTTGTCCCAAATGAAAATGGTTACATTTGCACGCCTAGCTCGAAAGCGTAGACAAGAGACTGAGGGAATACCTACTACGTAACACTACTAAAAAGTTGTATTAGACAGGATAATACTGTATTCGAGACGTGTATGAAACATTGCAGTCAATTTGGCGAATTTAAGCCAATCAAGATAAAGTCGGATGTCCTGTCCGACTTTATTCGATCACAACACAATTATCCAATTACAATACAGTTTGCCAAAATGATATGTTCTCACAATTCCATTACGTAGTCATACTCCCTGATGTCTACAGGCCTTGTGGCCGCCATCTCTTTACGAACTATGGCTTTACCTTTACCTTTCGTCTTTTGCTTCTTCGCAGCACTCTGAGCGTTCTCACGAGTAACAATAACAATGAGTGTAACTCGTTTCGCTGGGATCTTCTTCACCAGTTCAGGTGGCAAAAGCAAATGCGCGTCGCGGGCCTGAAGTTAAGGGGTCACCATTGACTTCAACCAACTCGCCTGAGCATGTTCTGTCTTCAAACCACCTCGCTTGAATGCGCCAAGTCGAGCATACATAGTCTCCAGGTTGGGAGGGAAATTTCCAGTTGCAGTGAACGCCCGTACACACAAATCCAGTCGCATCGATATCCAGCAGGTCTTACAGGCCAGTTCGATAGCGTCGCACTTGGAAATCGTCAGGTTGGGATTCGTCCACAGAAATTGACGAATTTCAGCACGGATATTCCTCTTTAGTGGTCGAAATACGCCAACGTCCAGGGGCTGGAAGAGGTGAGTGGAATTGGGAGGAAGCAAGAACAGCATCACGTCGTGCTTCTTTGCAGTATCCACGATGTCCTCTGAGAAGTGTGATGCACAACCATCGTACACGAGCAGCACGGGTTTTGTGACATCAGCGACGGCCTTCCCAAACATCTCCAGCCAGGCACCAAACAACCCACCGTTCATGAAACTACTTGAGGTCGAAGCCAAGGCAGCATACAGCATGGTCTACTGACAATACTTCGAACGCATCGGCCAGGACAGTTGCACCACGCAGGATGAACAGGGGGGGATCACAGTGCCCTTAGCTCCGATGCATCCAACAATCGTTATGTGGAAATTAAGGCTGGCCTCTTGTGACTAGACGTTCGTCGAACCCACTTGAGCGATGACGTTGTTGGCGTGGCGCTTTGGAGCGAAACCCGCTTCGTCCATATTGAAAACCCGATCACCATCGTTGGCAACAACTTCAATGGCATCCTTGATCTTGATGTACAGGGTTTCGACGTCTTCGTCAGTCACGAAGTTCCTGGCGTTGGCAATGCTTGGGACTTGCGCCGGGTGAGGTCTTGGTGTTGCTTCATGAACCCCGCGTACCAACCCCGTGTTAGCGTGGCGCCAGGCGTGACCACATCGAGTGTCTTGGTGGCTCTGTCAATCATCTCGTCAGCGGTCACGGGCATTCTTCTTCCTTGTATCGCGAGAGCCCATTCCCTGAAGTCATCTTCCATGCCGGCGGAGAGGGTCATCTTCCGTCCACGCTGCTTGGTGACGTCTCCACAACGGGCTCGATGGACAGCGTCCTTCAACGAGCTGCGTGGAATGTGTGCTTTGTCTGCGATGGAGTTAATTCTCTCTTGGTTCTGACTGTCCAATGCTCGGTCCAATGCAGTGGCAAAGGGCCTCACGCGAGTAGCGTGTCATTTGGAAATTGGCGCACTTTTTTCGTCGAGCGGGAAAAATGACTTGTATACTTGATATATTAAATGTTACAAGTATTTGCATCAAGAGTATTTGATTTTGTCCAATGAATTTGCCTGCATGATGTGATTGGCCATTCGGTGGCCGGGAATTACATGAATTACCTTAAGACATTTGAGAACATGCAAGGCAAGCAAAAACCAATCAAGCGGTTGACTCTTCACGACAAGAACTCGATTAGAGAGTATTACAAGGCAAACATGCCTATCACGCCAGCTCAAATCCAGCGATGGGCAACCGAGCAGTTTGGCCGTGCCGTCCACATCACGACAATTCGTCACACCTTGAAGGACACCGCACGCTCGAGGCCTATAACATAAGAAAGGAGTCAGCAAAGGCTCGCTTAACTTCCAACGACCACAGCATCAAGAACTTGACAACGAGGTTGCGACATGGGTGCGAATGGCAAACGCCAAGAAAGCAAGCGTCACGGGTGAGCTCATTGCTCGCGCTGGCAACAAGATCGATTCGCGAATGAACCTAAGCAATCGCATGATATGCTGAAAGGGATGGGTCTATCGCTTGGAAATACGCCACAACTTCAAAATGTACCGTCTTCACGGCGACACTGCCTCGGCTAGTGCGCTTACCGTCCAAAGTGGCCGCGTGGCAGTTCAAGCGATGACGAGCCTGTTCCATACTGCCGACATCTACAACATGGATGAAACTGGCCTCTTCTACAACGGAAAACCACGTAGCACAATTGCCGATCAATCGCGACCCGGGCAAAAACAAGGCAAGAAACGCATCTCAGTCGCCTTGGCGGTCAACGCAGACGGCTTAGACAAGTTGCCGCCGATGTTTATCGGCAAATCCAAGAAACCGCGTTGTTTCGGAGGCTTGTCCAGTCGAGAGTTGGGTTTACTCTACCACTCCAATCGCAAGGCCTGGCTGGATGACAAAGTCCTTGTTCTCGGAGTGGCTGAGTAGCTTCAACTCACGAATGTCAACTGGAGGTAGGCAAGTCCTCTTCATCCTAGACAACGCGTCATCGCATGATCCGCTGGATGTCATCCTTACCAAGGTCAGAATCTTGATGCTGCCACCAAACACGACGGCCTTTTTGCAGCCAATGGATGCTGGAATCATTGCATCGTTCAACCGACAATACAAGCGTCAGCAAATGGATCATGTCATCGACATAATCGAGTGTCCTACCCATGGGTCTGGCCGTGAACACAAGAACTTGTACGCTGTGGACGTGCTCACCGCCATAACTTGGTCGCTGGTAGCCTGGAATAGTGTCACACCAACGACCATTCGCAATTGCTGGGCCCACACGGGAATTGTACCTCGGGGCACATCGATGGAACAACGTCGCCCCTCCAGGGCATCTCCGGCCACTCAATTTGGCGTTTTTGCTTAACGAGACCCCGTTTTTATCACACACTAAATAACGATTTTATCACACACTAAATAACGAAATACACACGAACTTTCACGAAAACCACATAGAAAACACATGGGCTTCCAGCATCAGTATTCGTTGGGGATGATCTCAAGGGAGTATAATCATGTGTTTGTTTACGATACTGGCGTGCCATCAGGTACCCGTATTGTCAGTCACACATATGGTTAATTGAGTTTTGGGTTGGGACGCCGTGACAGAGTACTCCGAGGAACTGTACCGGTAAGTTCAAAGTATAGTACTACTATGGACTGATAGTACTACTGGAATTAATGTGCACTGAATTCTCAGTGTAATTTACAGTTAACACGAATCGACGCCAGCATCGACCACTACATTGACGAGCACCACACTCGTCATTGTAGTGGCTGGTGGTTGGTGCTGACATGGCGGTGGCGTCTGCCGTCATTGAG